CCCCATCTTCCCCGATCCTGACTGTTCTCGCCCCCCGCAACGCTTGCGTATCCTCCCCATGCGCACGCGAACCCCAGTGCGCTTCGTGTGGACTCGTACATCTTCGAGAGTATTTCCATGCTGGCGCGTGCCCTGGGGCCGGCCATCACCCGGCACATTCACCCGAACCTTCTGGCCCATCTCTTCGCCACTGGCCTGTCCGAGCCGCTGGTTACAACGCTGGCCGATTTGGCCGCACACATCCCGCCACTGCTGCTCATCATTCAGGGTACGGGTTCCCCCCCCCCCTCCCTTCCGTCTGTTCCGTGCACTTTTTTTCCCTCACGCCCCACATGCTTACGTATGCCCCCCCTTTCCTTCCTGGTTCTCCCTCTCCCTCTCTCTCCCCGCCTCCTTCTTCCTCCCCCCCCCCCCCCATGAAGAAAACCTCCTCGACATGCTGTCTATGACCCTTAGTCGGCAGCCATACCGGCATCCCGGTGCCCGGGACACGACCGATCCGATGGGTCTGGTATTGGGCTCCGGGGTGCTGGGATCTGCCCAGGCGGCGGTCCAGCTCCCCGGGGCCATGTACTCGGCCACGGATCAGCACTTGGTGTCGTCGACGGCCACGGCAGCGGCGGCGGCGGCCGCCTCGGCAAGCTGGTCCTCCGGACCGTCCATGCGCCTGCTTCAATTGTCGGCTGTGGCCGCGGCCCCAGGAGGGCCGTCTCCCCTGGCGGCCGGGCACCTGCAGCAGCCCGGGGTCCTGGCCGATCGGCTGGCCGGCAACGGGTCCCTGGCCGGGCTGACCCCCGAGGGGGTGGTCGATGCCGAGGCCCGGCAGCACATCCTGGCCTTGCGGTCGCTGGCGCGCTTCAACTTCCGCGGGCATGATTTGAATGTCTTTGTCCTGGAGCGTGTGATTCCCTTCCTGGAGGACCCGCACCCGGATGTGCGCGAGGCCGCGGCCCAGGCAGCCTGCGCACTGCTTCTGAAGGAGCCCATGCCCAGCGGCACGTACAGCCTGACGGCGGTCAGTGTGGCTGGCGCGGTGCTGGAGCGCCTGCTGGCAGCCGGTGTCACGGATCCGGAGCCCCTCATCCGATACACGGTGGTGGCATCGCTGGACCCGCGGCTGGATTCGCACCTGGCCCAGCGCGAGCACATTCGCGTCCTGATGCTGGCCCTGCATGATGAGCTCTTCGCGGTGCGCGAGGCGGCCACCCTGGTTCTCGGGCGTCTGGCTCATCACAACCCGGCGCAGGTGCTGCCCTCCTTGCGGAAGGCCCTCCTCCGACTGCTGGCCGAGCTGGAATGCAGCACGGTGGCCAACAGCCGCGAGGAGAGTGCGGTCCTGCTGGCCCGGCTGATGGCCTCGGCCCAGCGCCTGGTCCGACCCTATGCCGATCCCATCCTGAAGGTGGTGATGGAACGCCTGCGGGACCCGGTGGCCGGGGTGGCCGCCCGGGCGATGAATGCCCTGGGCGAATTGGCCACCGTCGCCGGGGAAACCATGCGCCCATACATCCCGGTGCTGTTGCCGCTCATGATCGACACCCTGCAGGACCAGTCGTCCTCGGCCAAGCGCGAGGCGGCCCTGGTGGCTCTGGGCAAGCTGATCTCCGCCACGGGCTATGTGATTGAGCCGTATTTGGAGCACCCGCAGCTGCTCGGCACCCTGCTGGGCTTCCTCAAGACCACGGAACAGCGCCCGGTGGTCCGGCGCGAGGCCATGAAGTCCCTCGGCATCCTCGGTGCCCTGGACCCCTACCGGTATAAGATGTCCCAATTGGAGGCCGCGGTGCTGGGCAAGGGCCTGGTCGGGAGCTCCGACCCGAAGACCACCAATGAGATGATCCAGGAGCACCGACTCAACACCATGTCCCCCTCTTCGGAGGAGTACTACCCGTCGGTGGTGATCCATGCGCTGATGAAGATCCTTCGCGATCCGTCCCTGTGCAACCACCATACGGTCATCGTTCAGGCGGTCATGTACATCTTCAAGTCGCTGGGGCTCAAGTGTGTGTCCTTCCTGCCGCAGATCATGAAAACCTACATCGGGGTCATGCACTCGACCACGGCGGCCGGCATGCTGGAGTTCCACTTCACCAAGCTGGCCCAGCTGGTGGGCGTGGTCCGGCAGCACATTCGGAATTACGTGCCGGACATCATTGCCCTGATTCAGGCCAATTGGGACGCCGGGCCGGCGGTCACCGGGCTCACCGGGGCCGGTGGTGCCCTGACCGCCGGGGCCGGCGGCTCGGGCGGGTCGCTGGCTGGCGGTGCGGGCGGCTCGCTGGCCGGCGGCCCGGGGGGTGCCCTCGTTGGGGGTGGCCTTGGTGCCGGGGCGGCCGGGGCGGCCGGCGGCGCCGGTGGCTCGGGTGGCTCGGGCACCGGTGGCCCGGGCGGCCCGGGCGGCTCCGGTGCACCGGGCGCCGGCGGCGGGCCCGGCACCGGGCCTGGCAGTGTGGCCCTGCAATTGACCATCATCTCCCTCATCCGGGCCATCGCCAGTGCGCTGGCCGGCGAGTTCAAGGTCTACCTGCCGGACTTGCTGCCGCAGCTGCTGCAGGTCTTCGAGTCCGACGATTCGGAGAAGCGCCAGCCGACGCTCGATGTGCTGACCACCCTGCGGGACTTCGGGGCCACGCTCGAGGAGTACTTGCACTTGGTGGTGCCGGCTGTGATTCGTGTGGCCGAGGCCGGTGGCACTGGGCTGTACCATACCCAGGCCAGTGCGCTGTATTCGGTGGCGGTGGCCGGCGGGTCGGCCGGTGCCGCGGCCGCCGCGGCTGCCGGTACCGGTGGCCCGCATCACCAGCTGTTGCTCGGTGGGCGGAAGTCCCCCTCGGCGGTGGCCACGCTGAATGTGCGCCGCTCGGCCCTGGTGGTCCTCTGCTGCCTGGCCCGGTGCATGTCATTGCAGGATTATGCGTCGCATTTGGCCCTGCCCCTGTCGCGCATCCTGGCCACCGGCCCGATCGAGCTTCGCGCCCCTTGCCTGGATCTCCTGACGGCTCTGGGCGTGCAAATGGGCCCGGACTTTGTGATTTTCGTGCCGCTGGTCAGCCGGGCGCTGCATGTGCCGCGCAGTGGTCCGGGTGGGCAGCTCGGTCCGGCTGCCTCCTCGGCCGCGGCCGCGGCCGCAGCAGCAGCCGCCGCCGCCGCGGCCGCCTCCTCCTCGAATGCTGCTGCTGCCGCGGCCGCGGCCGCGGCGGCTGCCGCCGCCGCCGCTGCTGGAGCCAATCTCCCGGGAGCCGCGGCGCGCGCGCGCTACGACGCCCTCGTGGCGGCGATCCTCCAAGCGGATGCCGGCATCCGGTGGGTGAGCTCCGACCTGGCAGCCACCCTGCTGGATGTGTCCAAGGATCCGGACCTGCGGGATCTTTACATGCTCTGCTCGGAGGATGGAGCCGGGCTCGGGGACGCCGGGGTCGGCGGATCCGGAGCCGGTGGCGCCCCGGATGCCCTGGCCCCGGTGCGCAAGCTCCCCGTCAACCAGGCCAAGCTCAAGAAGGCCTGGGAGACTTCGCAGCGGTCCACGCGCGAGGATTGGATCGAATGGATGCGGCGCTTTTCGGTGGAGCTGCTGAAGGAATCGCCCTCGCACGCGCTGCGCGCTTGCGCCTCGGTGGCCGTGGTCTACCACCCCCTGGCGCGGGAGCTCTTCCACGCGGCCTTCGTCAGCTGCTGGGGCGAACTGTATGACCAATTCCAGGATGAGCTGGTCAAGAGTCTGGAGCTGGTGCTCTCGGGCAATGGTGTTCCTCCGGAGATCGTCGGCTCGATCCTCAGTCTGGCCGAGGTATGCTCGCTACCCTTTGGCCCATTGGCGGGCCTCCTCTCCGCGCGCGCACACACACACACACACACACACACGCGCGCGCGCGCGTCTATTGTCCCTGCTTCTTGTGCCCTTTTTGCTGACACTTTGCGCGTGCTTTGTCCCCCGGCCTGTCCTTCGGCTTGTGTGCTTCCGCCTTTGTTGGGGCACCTGTGTCATGTGCATTTGGCGTTAGTTCATGGAGCACGATTACAAGCCGCTGCCGATTCCCGACCGGTCGCTGGCCATGTACAGCAACCAGTGCCAGTCGTATGCCAAGGCCCTGCACTACATGGAATTGGAGTTCCACAACAGCGAGCCCACCGCGCCGACCAGCATCGAAACTCTCATCTCCCTCAGCAACCAGCTCCAGCAGCCGGATGCGGCGGTGGGCATCCTCAAGTGGGCCCAGACGCATCATGGGCTGGAGCTCAAGGAGAGCTGGTATGAGAAGCTCCACCGGTGGGATGACGCGCTACGGGCACATGAGGCGCGCCTGCGCGAAGACCCCTCGGCCATTGAGCACATCCTCGGTCGCATGCGTGCCTTGCAGGCTCTCGGTGATTGGGAGCGCCTGTCGGCCGCGGCCCAGGAGGTCTGGCGGAGTCGGACGCGCTCCGGCGGCGGCCCGGAGGCCGCTGCCTCCCTGGAGGCCCTCCGGCGAGCGGTGGCTCCCCATGGTGCCGCGGCCGCGTGGGGCCTGCTCCAGTGGGATCTGATGGACGATTACATCAGCTACATGCGGGAGGATTCGCCGGATGGCGCCTTCTTCCGGGCGGTGGTGGCCTTGCATCGGGCGCAGTATGGCCATGCGCAGCTGCACATCGACCGGACTCGCGACCTGCTGGATGGCGAGCTGGCTGCCCTGGCCGGGGAGTCCTATGCCCGGGCGTATGATGTGGTCGTTCGAAGATCGGAAGAGCGTCGTGCCGGGCGGTGGTGGCCTTGCATCGGGCGCAGTATGGCCATGCGCAGCTGCACATCGACCGGACTCGCGACCTGCTGGATGGCGAGCTGGCTGCCCTGGCCGGGGAGTCCTATGCCCGGGCGTATGATGTGGTCGTTCGAGCCCAGATGCTGGCCGAGTTGGAGGAAATCGTGGTCTACAAGCGGGCCACCGGCACCCCGGACGAGGAGGCCGTCCACCGAAGCATTCGCAGCACCTGGGAGCGCCGACTCCAGGGTGCCCAGCGGAATGTGGAAGTTTGGCAGCGCATTCTCAAGGTCCGGGCCTTGGTCATTGCTCCGTCCGATGCGCCGGACATGTGGATTCGATTTGCCAATCTGTGCCGCAAGTCCGGGCGCATGCCCCTCGCGCGCAAGACCCTCAAGATGCTTTACGGCCCGCGGGACTGGGACCTGGTCAACAGCCGGACGGTGCACATCAATCGCCCACGGCTGACCTACTGCTATCTGAAGTACCTTTGGGCGTCGGGCAATCGAGTGGCCGCCTTCCAAGGGCTGGAGGCCTTTGTCCGGACCCTGGCCCCGATGGTGGCCCAGGAGGCCGGGGGTGCCGGAGCCGTGGCCCTGGCATCGGCGTCGGCCGGCGGGCCTGCCGGCGTCCCTGGCAGCTCGGAGCACCCGCAACAGCCCTCGCAGGACGCCGGCGGGGACATGCTGGCTGGCGATCTGGATGGCATGAGCCTGGCCGATCGCGAGCCCGGGGCCGCAGTCGGGCCCGGGGCCGCGGTCGGGGCCGGTCCCTCCACCGGAGCCTCGATGGCCGGCGGTGCGGTTGGCAATGTCGGCGCCGCGCGCCGGCGTGCCGGTAGCTCCGCTCCCGGGGGGGCTTCTCTGCAGGAGCTCCTGGCCCGGTGCTACTTGAAGCTGGGTGACTGGCTGCAGCAGCTGCATCCGGACTTGACGGATACAACCATCAAGCAAATGCTTGGCTCGTATGCGGCGGCCACACGCCATGGTCCGACCTGGCACAAGGCCTGGCGCGCATGGGCGTTGGCCAACTTCGAGGTGATCGCCCACTTCGACGATGGCGCCGGGGCCGGGGCCGGGGGGGGATCACACTCGGGCTCGGGAGCCGCGACGGCAGCCACCCTGGCTGGTGGCCTGCCCTCGTTGGAGTCCGTGGCCTCTGGGCTTTCTCGGCGGGCCGGAGCCCCGGCCGCCGGGGGCCCGACGCATGCGGTCCTCCTGACGGATCACGTTGTGCCGGCCATCCAGGGCTTCGTCCGAAGTGTGTCCCTCTCACCGCGGGGAAGTTCCCTGCAGGACACCCTCCGGCTGCTGACTCTGTGGTTCAAGTATGGCCCGTATCAGGAGGTGCACACGGCCATCAGCGAGGGCATCGGCCTGGTGTCGATGGACACCTGGCTGCAAGTGGTGCCGCAGCTGATCGCGCGTATCCATGCCCCGGCGCTGTCGGTCCGGCGGTTGATCCACCGGCTGCTGGCCGACGTCGGCAAGGAGCACCCCCAGGCCTTGATCTACCCGCTGACCGTGGCGGCCAAGTCCCAGAGTGTCACCCGACGCGGGGCGGCGCAGGCCATCCTGGACCGACTGCGGGCGCATGGTGCTGCCCTGGTGGACCAGGCGCAGATGGTTTCGCAGGAGCTCATCCGCGTGGCCATCCTCTGGCAGGAGATGTGGTATGAGGGCCTGGAGGAGGCGTCGCGCGTGTTCTTCGGGGACAACGACGCCGAGGCCATGTACACCATCCTGGCACCGCTGCACCGGCTGCTGGAGCGCGGTCCGGAAACCCTGCGCGAGGTGTCCTTCGCCCAGGCCTTCGGCCGGGATTTGGCCCAGGCTCTGCGCCTGTTCCAGTCCTTCCGGCGGACGCACTTCGCCAAGGAAATCGAGCAGGCCTGGGATCTGTACTTGTCGGTCTTCCGTCGGATCAGCAAGCAACTGCCGCAGCTGACCCAGTTGGACTTCCACTATGTGTCGCCGCGGCTGCTTCATGCTCGGGACTTGGAGCTGGCCGTGCCGGGAACATACCATCCCGGAACGCCGGTGGTCCGAATTGCGAGCTTCGTTCCGACGCTGACGGTTATCATGTCCAAGCAGCGCCCTCGGCGCCTGACCATCCAGGGATCCGACGGTGCGGACTACCAGTACCTGCTTAAGGGCCATGAGGATCTGCGTCAGGATGAGCGTGTCATGCAGCTCTTCGGCCTGGTGAACACCCTGCTGGCGGCAGATTTGGAAACCTTCACCCGGCAGCTGAACATCCAGCGCTATGCGGCCATTCCGCTGTCGCCGAACTCCGGCCTCATTGGCTGGGTGCCCAACACCGACACTCTTCACACTCTGATCCGGGACTTCCGTGAGTGGCGGAAGATCGCCCTGAACCATGAGCATCGGCTGATGCTGAACATGGCCAACAACTACGACAACCTGAGCCTCATTCAGAAGGTCGAGGTGTTCAGCTTTGCCCTGGAAAACACCACCGGCAAGGATCTCAACCGGATTCTCTGGCTCACCAGTCGCAATAGCGAGTCCTGGCTCGATCGGCGGACGCATTACACCCGGTCCCTGGCCACCATGTCCATGGTGGGCTACATCCTGGGCCTGGGTGACCGGCACCCAAGCAACCTCATGGTGGACCAGTTCACTGGCCGGGTGATTCACATCGACTTCGGTGACTGTGCGTTGTCTTCCTGGGCGGGGGGGGGGGGGGGGGGGAGCGCGGCTTCGAGTGTGGTGTTCCTTTTGCTCCTTTCCCCTCGGCCCCGGGCCAAGTGGCTGGCTTTGTGTTGCTCGAGGTTTATGCGGCTTCTTTTTTTTGTTCGGCTCCTGAACTGACCATCCTGCCTTCGCTGCTGCTACCTGGGTGACTTGTCCTCCTTCTTCTGCCCCCCTCTCCCCCCCCCCCTCTCGCCCCTAGGCTTCGAGGTGGCCATGCACCGGGACAAGTTCCCCGAGCGCATTCCCTTCCGGCTGACCCGCATGCTGGTCAATGCCATGGAGGTCAGCGGCATCGAGGGCACCTTCCGGACGACGTGCGAGAATGTCATGCGTGTCTTGCGCGAGCACAAGGATTCCCTGATGGCCGTCCTAGAGGCCTTCGTCTATGACCCGCTGATCAGCTGGCGCCTGCTCCATCACCGCCGAGAGGGCGGTGCCGCCGGACCGCCGGGCCCCAACGGCCAGGCCGGCAGCCTGGAGGCACATGAGGCCGACAATGTGGCGGCCAGCCGCGCCCGCCGGCGCTCTGCTGCTCTGGTGGCCGACGGCGATGACCGGCCGGGCTTCCGCCGGCGCGACTTCCATGGTGGCAGCGAGGATGACGATGATGATGACGATGCTGAGGGCACCGAGGATGGTCAGGGTGCGTTGGTTCTTGTTTTTTTTTGTTTTCTACTCTTCCCTGCTGCCGGCGGCCCCCGAGGGTCGGTCGGGGCCTGCTTCTCTCTGTCGACCCTCGGTCCCTGGGACGCCGGATGATTCTAACATTCATGTCTGCGCCTCCCCCTCCCCCCCCCCCCCCCCCCCCCCCCCCCCCCCCCCCCCCCCCCCCCCCCCCCCCCCCCCCCCCCCCCCCCCCCCCCCCCCCCCCCCCCCCCCCCCCCCCCCCCCCCCCCCCCCCCCCCCCCCCCCCCCCCCCCCCCCCCCCCCCCCCCCCCCCCCCCCCCCCCCCCCCCCCCCCCCCCCCCCCCCCCCCCCCCCCCCCCCATTTGCCCGCCCCCCCGCTGGCCCCCCCCCCCCCCCCCCCCCTGTCCGCACGCGCCGATGCCCGTGCCCGATCCACCTGTCCTCGCTGGACCTGCCCGGACCCTCGCACGAAGTCGACCTTCCGGAGGCTCGGAACCAGCGCGCCGTGGCCATTGTGGCCCGTGTGCAGCACAAGCTCACCGGCCGGGACTTCGACCGGCATGAGTGCCTTGATGTCCCGGTTCAGGTGGAGCGCCTTATCCGCCAGGCCACTGCCGTGGAGAACCTCTGCCAGTGCTACGTCGGTTGGTGTGCCTTCTGGTGAGGGCGGGCGCGAGGAGGAGCACATGCAGCGCGCCTGTCTCCCGCCTCCTCTGCCTCAACTCGCCCGGAACCTGCCCCTCCGCCCTGTCAAAGGGCGGAGAATAAACAGATCCCCTTTTCAAGGAGAGCCAAGTGCAAGAGAGCCCGAGAGGCGCATCCAGGCAGACCGGGTGGTGTGGCGGCCAGTCGGGGGGGGGAGGCATGTGTGCCGAATTCGATCGGCAGGGCGATCCTCCCCCCCCCCCCCCCCCCGCCACCGGGCCCGGATCTGTCTTTTGGCCCACCGATCGGCTGGACCAGAAGAGCAGCGGCTCCTCCCGGCGGCTGGGCTCGCTTCCCCCCTGCGGCGAGCCATCTTGTCCATGGGGATGTGCCATCGGTCGGGCCATGACCGCGACAGAATCGTTGGGAGTTGTGATGTGAGGCACTGCCCGCTCGGCGCGCCCGCATCATTTGCGGGCCAGGGCGGGCTGCTGGGGCGGGGGGGGGGAGGGGGCAAAGGCGCCGCCGCCCCGGCCTTGAAGAGCTGCCAGCCGAGTATGATCGCAAAGCCACCCCAAGCAACCTGCCCTCTCCTCCCCTGAGATCTCCCCACCCGCTAATCCTCTCCCCAGGGCGAAGAAGGCCGAACAGGACACGGCTGGATGCGCGGTCCTCTCTCTCTGTCAATGCTGTCCCGAAGTCAAAAGAGGAGGGTATGTGTGTGTAGTTTGGGGGGGGGGGTTGTGGGGCGGGGAGGATCCCCCGGCGCCGCTCGCCGCGCGGCCGCGCAGCGCACAGGCGCGGACCGACTCTGGCGCGCCCGATGGGGGGGGGGGTGAGGTGAGAGGGAGAGAGAGTACACAAACGAGCTGCGCGCGCAGGGAGGGAGGGAGGGAGCGCGCGCAGAACGAAGCAAAGGCTCTCCGGCACACTTAAGCCGAGGCGTTCATGATGGCGGCGATGATCTCACCACCGTTCTTGGCCAGAGCACGGACAGCGGTGGCGCGGTCGACACCAGCCTGCTCCATGACCTGGGCGACATCCTCCTCGGGGAAGTCGCCAGTGATCTCCTCATCGTCGTCACCGCCGGCGGCAAGGTTGGCCTTGGCGGCGGCCTGCTGGGACTCGATCAGGGCGCGGAGCTGCTCCAGAGCCTGCTGGTTCAGGGTGTTGGGGTTCTCCATGCGGGGCTGGCCGAGGATGACGAACATGGTGGCGGAAGCCTGGTAGATGGTCGGCTGATCGATGACGATCTGGGCACGGCGGGCGTTGGCGAACTGGACGCGCACGGTGTCGGGCAGGGGCTTCATGTTCAGCTTGTCGAAGGCCTCAACCAGGCGGGCCTGGTGGCGGGCGACGGCGTTGGCACCGGTCTCGGCGGCGTGGTCGTGCTCGCCGTGAGAGTGGCTGTGGCCGTGCTCACCGTGGGAGTGGGAGTGGCCGTGCTCGGACGACTCCTCAACGTCAGCGACGTCGACAACGTCGTGGACCTGGTCCTCAGGGACGATAGCGATGCTGGCCATGTCTGGAGCAGCGGAGGAAGGGGAGGGGGCGCGGGCGAATCGACGAGGGGTTGTGCAAAGGTCAGAAACCAGGCGGCAGGGGGGTGTGCGGGTCGTACAGGCACACAAAACCGAGGGGAGGGGGAAGGGTGCAAAAAGGAAGTGGCCGGGGGGGGGGGGGGGGGCGGCGCGCTCGCCATCTCTCTCTCCTCTCCGCGGCATCGGGGACAAAGTTACCGGTCAGCCCGCGAGGCGGGCCAACTGGAAAATGGTGTCGGATGTGCCAGCCATCCGACAGCGGCCGCCTCTCGATGTCGGGGGAAAAAAACCCCGGGGGAAGCCCAGCCGGACGGCGGACCGCAGCGCCGCGCTCGGAGACGCATCTCCGGGCGAGAGGCCGGCGCGTGCTTGTCCGCCAGCGGCTACCGCCGGCGAAGAGGAAAAGAAACAGAGAGAGAGAGAGAGCCAATACACGTGTCCGGATCCAGGGGAGGGAGAGGCAAGGCGAGGATGGAGGAGACAAGCAAGCGGCGGGAGGGAGGAGAGGAGGGGAGCAGGGAGGGGGGGGGGAGACTTACTTGATAGAAGGAAACCCCGGAACGCGCAAAAAGTAAAGACTACGAGAGCGGAGATGTGCCTAGGCCGCAGAGATGCGCCGCGGCCGAGGCGCGGCCACCCAAAAAAGGCCGGTCACCCGGGGCCCCGGCGGGGGGGAAAAAAAACGGCTGCCCTCCCGGTGCCTTGTACCTGTCTGCCTGACCCCCCCCCCCCGGGAGCGCCCCCCAGCAGGCTCCACTCACCCACCACCACTCACGCCGCAACGGCGACGGAAACAAAGCGAACAAAGAACACAAGAGAAAAAAAAGACCCCGCGACACGGCTCTGCCTCCCTGGGCAGCGCCCCCCCCCCCTCTGGCGTTTTCCTCGGCGTTCACAACAGGTCCCCCGGGCGCAGGCGAGCGAGGGGCGAGGGGAGGCCAAATGCATTCCCTCCCACCGACCAGTTGAGCCCGGCAGCGAGGAAAAACCCCCAAGCCCACATCCCAACATACTTGGCCAGACCCCCGTCCGGGAGTAAACATGCCTCGACACACACACAAACACACGCATCCAGCCACAAAGACCCCGAGAGAGGGGCCTGGCCTTACCCCTTCCCAACTCCCGGGCAAGGCCCCCGACGAAGGCTCTCGGCTCGCGGGACACCACGGTGCAGGGGAGGTGTCCTCCCCGGTCCGGATGCGCGCACCAAGCCGGCGGCGATGAACAAAGAAAACGCCCCCCGTTGCCTGGGGAAAAAAAAACAGGCCAAAACACCTTGCAGCACCGAAGGAGCGCCCGGCAGCCTGTCCCAGTCACAGAGACCGCCCAACGGTCAATCGGGAAAGAGAACTCACTAGACCAACCACCCAGACACCCACAGCCCAGGGCAACCAACGAGGAGGGGGCCAGGGAAGACAAAGCGAGGGACCGTCGGAAAGGCGGATTGATCACGCGCGCGCGTGACGCGCTCTTTAGGATCAGATCCATTTGATCCACAATCGCACCCGATCGCAGGTCACTGCTTCGATTGTGGGCGGCGGGGGGCAATGCGAAGGCAGAACATGGCGGCCGGCAAGCGCAGGGGGAGGGGCTGCTTCCAGGGCCGCGGCCCACCCGGCGATGCGCCCCGGCCCGGGCTGGCGATGGGATGGGGGGTCAAAACGGCCGGGCCTACTCCCACGCCCCATGGCCTGCCGCGCGAGGTCAATCCTTTTCGATTGGCCCTGCCCTGCTGTGACCCATCGCTCGGTCTTCAGCCTCGCATGGCCGGGCGCCCCCGACGCCGGCCCCGATGTGCCCCGGCGTCACGGCGCATTCCTGGCAGCCTGTTCGACCGGAGGGGCGTGACTCCTTGGGCCCCCCTCAGCCCCCTGGGGACCCGGGGCCCAGGCAACTTCCTAAGAATGACGCATGGGCTGGCTGCCCCCGCCCCCGCCCGCCCCTCGGACGGCCAGACATCGGAGTGGCTCGGCTAACAAGTGCCAGGTCTATTTTTCTTTGACAGAGGCGCAATCGTCGACCGGGGCAACTATACTATCCGGCGGCGAGGGAAAGCCCGAGAGGGGAAGGCAGGCGCGGCGGGAGGCTTTCTTGCGCGTGGACGGTAAACCGCACTTCGCGAGCGACTGCTGGTCGCTGCGCCGCCAGGCGCAATAGCACCGGGTGGGTGGTAGTGGTCGTGGTGGCGGCCCCAACATGCCCCTATTGGACTCAGCAATACCCGGCCTGCCCGCCACCATGACTCCATGCCCTTGAGAGAAGCCAGCCCATCAGCAAGCGTCGTGCGTCTTTACTCGACGCGACCTGCCGCTTCCCCGCTCCTGCGAGGCCTCGCATGCGCGTCTGCACAGTGGCAGGGAAGTGCCCTCCCCCCCCCGCGCTTACACGCAATGCCCCTTCGCCCATGTCCAGATCCCCCCGCCTTGCGCGCTTCCCTCTCTCCCCCCCCCTCGTGGATTCCCCGCCCCCTCCCCTTCCTCCGCTGCTCCAGACATGTGCAAGGGACTGCCCGCTCACCTGTGGTGGCCTCCCCCCCCTGGGGAGGGAGATCGAAATAGTCGGTGCCCCTTGCCGAGGGCGGGCGGCGGACGCGGGAGTCATCGGGAAACGGATTTTATACTAAGCTTGGAGTGGGGGAGAAATTATTTCAAGCGCCCCTTTTTGTTTCTGGCCGACAATCGGAAAGGCGTGGAACTGTGGCTCCTTGAGCGGCCGATGAGGGGGGAGGGGGGGTAATTTGTTCTTGAATGCACGCGCAGCGGCGACTTCCTGCGCGAAGGGCCTCGGCCTTTGCACAGGAGGATGCAACGAGATGGCAGGAAGACACCTGGACTGCATGGTAGACACACACACACACACACGAAGCCCCACACAGGGGCTAGGGCCCCTGCTCAAGACTCGGGGCCCGGGCTTCGTTGCGTCCCCGTTGCATTTTGGCCGCCTCCGTGCAAGCCTACTTCTTCGGCGAGGCGTCGGCCGCGGCGATGGACGCCGGCTTGCGATCGGCATTCCACCGGGCCAGCACCGCCTCGCCCTCCCACTCGCCGGTGCGCTCGTCCCACCAGACACCGTTGCCGATGTTGGCCAGGGCCGGCTGCGCCGGGGTGGTCCACCGGTACCAGCTGTCGTAGTCGCTCATGGCCATGTGCCGCAGGGCCAGCACCTCCACGAAGGAATCCACCGCGTCACCCCGGCGGACGGGCGTCATCCGGGCAGCCGCCGCATGCGCATCCTCGGAGGTGGCATTGCCGGCGGCGGCCGTGGTCATGAAGGGCATTTGCGGGAAGATCATGCGCGGGGCCACGCGCGCAATGTTGCGCTGGTACTCGCGGATCTTCGACTGGGGGATGGACTCCAGCCAGTGGATCCAGCTCTTGGGCAGGGAGGGATCCGGGATGTAGGCATGGGCGGCTGCCTGCGCGGTGGCCTGGGCCGCCTTGTCGGCGTCCGCGCCGGTGGCGGCGGCCCCGGCCCCGAGCCCGGAGTCCAGAAGACGATCCAGCTCGGCGTGCACGTCGCCGTCGGCCGCGTCCCGGGCCTGGCGCTGGCGGGTCTCCTCCTCCTGGCCCGGGCCGGCGCTCTTGGCCATGGCGGCCGTGGCATTGGCCGCCACCGTCGGAGCGGGGGTCTCCGGGAAGAGCTCCTTGTCCGTGAGGTTCATATGGCGCTGATAGTCGAACACCGCCCGGCTGGGGATGCGGATGACCAGCTGGTCCCAGTCGATGAGGCTTTCGTAGGGCAGCGCCGCGAAGTCGGACAGGACCACCGGGATGCAGCCGGCCAGCATGGCGGTCGTCAGACGCCGGGCGGAGGATGAATCGCCCGGAAGATGGGGACAGAAGGTGGCACTGTGAAGGTCGATGGCGGGGTCGCCCCCCGGCGAAAGCGCCCACCAAATGGCCAAGCGAGCGAGATGCAAGCCGGAGGAGTTAGCTTCCGGCCCTGGCAAATGGTCCACCTCCCTTTCGGCCAGCTCCGGCCCCCAGAGACAGGAGCCCCGAGATATGTGCCCACAGCCGGGAACCGCCCCCCGACGGGATTCCCCCCCTCTCCCCTCGCCTCTTCCGCGCGACAACAGTACTCGGGCCGGCGTAAAGTCGTGTGTGCGTGTCTGTGTGCCTGTTTTCGCCCCCCCCCCCCGCCCCGCCCCTCCCCCGGGCGGGACCAAGAAAGACCTTTCGCACCTCTCCATCCGCTCATGCAGCCACTCATACTTCCCACGGTTGTGGCGACCGCCGCCGGCATTGTCGAACTGGTCAAAGAGCGCCCGCGGGCCGAAGTCCCGCATCGCATGGAAGAGCTTCTTGCGGATGGGCCCGCTCCGGCCGGTGTAGGTCCCGGCAAAGTAGACCAGGGGCCCGGTTCGCCGGCGCTCGGCGTCCGCCTCCCAGTCATACTTGCCGGCGAGGATGGTGTCGATGCGGGCTTGCAGCCGGGGCGACGGCTCGACGAAGGGGACAATGACCCGGCGCACGGCGGCGGTCCAGCGATTGTTGTGGGCGGCCATCTCCTCGACGGTTTCGATTTCCAGCGACACCGGATTCACAAAGGAGCTCAAGGCACTGGGGCTCAGCCGGGCCCGGTACATGGCGAACCGGTAGACAAAGTGATCCCGTCCGCCGGTGCGCGCGACGCTGGGCTGCTGAGACAGGAAATCCGACAGGGCCCGGGCGTACACCCGGTCCGTGTTGTCGAAATCGGTGGCATTGTCCACGCGCACGTAATCCGGCAGGAGGGACGGGTGGATCCATCTGTCATTCCAGGGCCCATGGTGGCGGGGGGACGGGGGCCGCGGCGCGGGGCCGGGCCGAGTGCCGCGGGGCGAGTCCCGAAACAGAGGACCACCCACATGTCCCAAGAGGGGGAAAGCCAGGAAGCCGGAAGTTAGTGCCAGAGACCAGCCACGGGGCAGCTCGCGCGGTGCCTAGCGGAGCAGAATGGAGGGCAGCAGGGCGGCGGGGAAGGTCGGGGGGGGGGGGGGGGGCGTACGTCAGGGCGCCGGAATAATGCGGCACGAAGAAGACCGACGCCTGGCGCCAGTCGTCCGTGTGCAGGGGATGCTGGCGCAGGCCGCGCTCCAGTGCCAGGCCTGCCTGGACCTGGGCCTGGTCCTCGTCCCAGGCCAACATCGGCAGGGTAACCCACTCGCTGTCGTGGAGGTGATCCTGCCCGAAGAATTGGGCCCCGGGGATCCCGAGCTTGGCGAAATCCTCCGGCCGAGGATCCGGCCGGGCCTTCAGCAAATCCACCAGGCCGGTGTGATTTCGGGCAAGGTGCATGGTCAGGACCGCGCGCCGGAGCAGGTCCGATCCCAAGTGCGCTGGGACATTGAGCACATGGATGCGGAACCCCGGGCCCGGGGTGTTGCTGCCGGCGGCGGGGCCCCCGCGCGACTGAAGCGGAGTGCTCAAATATGCCGGGCCACACATGCGCGCCAGGGCGGTGGCCAGCTCGATGGCTCGCTGGGCTCCCTCGGCGGCCTGGTCGGCGGCCGCCGGCCGAAGAGCGGACGCATCGGCGCCAGTACCGCCGGCAAGGAGACGCGACATCAGCGACCCGATGACCGATGTCGGGGCGCCGGCATTGGCAGTGGCCGCCGCCGCCGCCGCCGCCGCTGCATCCGGGCGCTCATGCATCCGGGCGTGCTCAAACGAGGGCTCCGGCTCGTCGCGCTGGGCGCGCACGGCCCCCAGCAGATCCGACATGACATTTCCGGCTGCCAGGTTGCCGATGCCTCCGCGAAGATAGCCCCCGGGCAGGTCGTCCAGCGATTGGAAGTCCTCCTCGTGCAGGGCACCATGCTGGGCATCGGACGGCTGGTCGTGGGTTTGGCCCGGGCCGGCCGAGATGGCCTGGTGTGCCGGGCGCCCGGCGGACCCGGTGGTGGCGCGCACACCGCCGGTCAGGTAATCCGGCACATCGGGGAACTTGGACCGCAGGACATGCAGGGCCGCGGACGCATCGCGCGAGTGACACGAGGCAGGAGTGAATGACCCGCGGGTCCAGTCCTCCGGCAGCCGGGACTCCTTGCCGGGTGCCTGAACCGGGACGATCATGGCGTCGAGGATCTGCTCGGCCAGGGCCAACTCCGCCGGGGACATGCTCCGCGCCATGAAGAGCAGCGGCCCGCCATTCAGATGCTGCCCAAGGAGGGCCAACTTTTCGGCGCGCGACGGCGCCGACCGGATACCACGGCTCAGAGGATCGACCGGCTGGTCGGCGGAGTGCCTGGCGCCGGCCATGCCCGACGGCAGGCGCTCGGCAGCCAGCATCAGTCGCCCGGCCCACGTGCCGGCACGCTGGTCGGAAGTGCCCTCGCCACTGAAGACGAAAACCGTGGTCAGCACCAGCGAGGCCATGACCAACGCCAAAGGCAGGAGGATGAGCACGCCGGTGCGCAAGCGCCGCGACCGATACCGGCCCAGCTCCGGCAGGGTGACTCCCACCCTCCGAGCCAGACGCCCAAGGGGCGAGGACCGGCGGCTACGCCGGGAGGGCCCCTCGCCTCCACGCAGCTTGGACCCATTGCCCGAGGAGTAGTACAGCGGCGTGCCGGGGGCCGAGACATTGGGCGACCCGGGCATGGAGCATTCGCGCGAGGCCGGGACCGAGCAGTCACGCGACACACCGGATGTGCTGAGGTCCAGGGCGCTTAACCTTGGGATGAAGGGCTCGCCACTGCGTAGCATGATTTCTTCGGGCAGCCGGGGTCAGTCGGGCGCCGGGGCCAAGAGGCAAGGGGGG